GTTGTCTATAACTCTTGGACTCATATGTAATGTAAGTCATCCTTTTCATTGAGTCCAAGTTTTTATTTCCAGCCAGATCCTTTTCTTTTTTAAATAATTTACTGGTCTAAACAACTTGCTTATAGGGTCATAGATGATTATTTCTATGGACCATTTTCTCTCAAAATGGAATCTATTACCATAACTCAGGATTAGCTATGAAACACTAGCAGTGGAAGTTTTGGAACTTCATGTATAATATAAGTGTTGGTGGAAAACTTATGGTTAGCATGTCATTTTAGACCGCAGTCTGACTTTCTGTTTTGATTATCAAACATCTCTGACTAAAATCAGGGATTTACAAGCCATTTGTGAAAGTTCAGGTACTGAAGAAAAATATATATAAGTTCTTTGTAGAAAGCAATTCGTGCTGTAATTGAAGAAGTCTCAGCCAGAATTGTTTATCAGTAGGTGTCTTACTTGAGATTATGAAGAGATGTGATAGTGTTTCCTTATGATCATATACTGAAACCATAGATTCCTACACCTTTGTAGCTTTGCCACCATCTTCCTCCGAGACTTGTAACTCTCCTATGGGATTGCATACCGGTACCTGTTTGTTTTCTTCCTTTGGAAAAGAATAAAACATGAGTGTCTCTGAACACTGCACGGTGTCAAGCAATTTAGTTCGGTTCAATAATTGATTTGAAAGGATGCATATTTGATGATGTTGACAGAAACGTAAAGACGTGGGACTGTAGGTGACTCCTTAACAGAGGTGAATGTAGAGGGGTTAACCCTACACAGCTGGGGACATGGGGTCAGAGGCAACGGATCAACCTACAGGATGACGCTTGGCCTCTCGTCCTTCACCTTCTCTCTCCATCTTCTTTTCTGTCTGTTTAGGTCTCTCTGTCTCTATGTCTGTCTCTCTCTCTCTATCTTCTTCTTTGTCTTCTTCTTCTTCTTCATCATCTTCTTCGTCGTTTTCATCTTCTTCTTCTTCGTGTTTGTCTTTGTCTTCTCTTCTTCTTCTTTTTCCTCTTCTTCTCCTTCCTCTTCTTCTCCTTCTTCTTCTTCTCCTTTTTCTTTTTCTTTTTCTTTTCCTTCTTCTCCTTCTTCTACTTTTCTTCTTCTTCCTTTCTTACTGATCTATCATACTTTCTTTTCTTCATTTCTGACTGGTTTGCCAGTGTATTGTAACGGCTAGGGCAAAGTTAGAATTACTTTCTAACTCTCTTATCATCATTTCATTAAAATGTATTCTTCCATCTGTTCTGTTGATGTTCATTTGTGTATATTTGTTCTTGCCTCTCTCCATCTCTATCAGAGCTTTTAGATTAATTTTCACTTTGATTTTCACTTTCCTTTCTCCTGATATCACAAGGGGAGCGTTTCACAAAACTTGTTATCAGTGACAAATGACAGTTTTTGTGATAAGCTACTGAAATCCTTGCTTTCTGATTGGTTATCAACAGATTTGTCACTGATTTTTGTCATTTGTCATTGGAAAAAGGCTTTGTGAAACGGTTCCCAGATCCATATGTCATCTATTTTTGTCTTCCTCCAAGCCCACGAGTAGAAGTACATTAATCACATGATCAAAGCGTAGACTTTTGATGGAACTTTATCAATCAATATTACAATGTCACTTCTTGATTACATTATCCTCTGAGCGACCATTATGTCTGTGCATAATCACGCAGACTATCAGATTTCCTGCCCAGACCGAACATATAGACGATGGTAAAGGCAAATTAATGTCGTCCACCTGCCCCACGCTCGGCAGTAAATTCTACATGATACTTCACCATGCCTTGAAGGCATGCTTTGATGTGAGCGCTCACACACAGTGCAGACATCAGCAACATATTCTCATTATTAAAGCCTTTTATAGCTTGTCACCATACCACAAGGTTTCCACGGCAATACTTCAGCGACTAGTCACCTATTATATACATACATATTTCCTTTTCTCTATTAGTGTAATTATTTGTCTTCTCATATCATTTTTTTCATAACCACAAGCATAAGCATGCATAGCTCTCTCATGCTTTGGAAAGGGGGGGGGGTGATGTATACATCACCCCCCCCTCATGAATACCTATATAAACAAAGCACTTATGTCCATCTTCAATTGCTCATTTTATAAGATTTATTCATAGTTTTTCTAATTCAAGATAGATCACTGCTATTGATGATGATTTCATAACTGCAATGTATGGTTTAATAGTTCAATGCTTCATATTTTATGTGCCTCAAGTTTTGAAGATTACCGTAATCTGTATTTCTATCGGGTCTCTTTCCTTAACCTGCACAGTTCTGTCCACTTGTTCCCTGTGCCAAATCTTTTTGGAGCCAGAAGATTTAAGTCTGGTTAAAATGATATGACTTAAAGACCTTATGATTCCAAATTGATGATATCTCTGTGCAATTTCCGTTATGTGTCCCTGTCCCTAACATGTTAAGAGGATCATTAACCTATCTAAAGTTAACCTTGTTTACGAAAGGTTATCCTAAATAGTATCATATAAGCATTGTTACAAGCCAGATAAATTAGATATAATCTTTGATAAGTCCGTTAAGCCGTTGATACATTTATCTTTCTTGCCCTGATGGGAGACCGCTCGGAAAGAGACCATCTTCTTATCTTTCTCAGCCATCTCTCCTTCTCCGAACCACGGTCGGTCGGCCGACATGAAAGAACTAATGGCCTCGGTAACAAGTAGACGACTTTCCCAATAAGTCAATTAAGCACCATTAAGCCTTTTGGGTCAAAGGCCACTCCCTGCTCTATATTTACACCAGGATGTCGGCATTGGTTATCCTCAATTAGCTTTCATCTTTCATGTTATGCTGGATAAAAACATTCCTGGGTTATGTTGGTATGCATAACATGTGATCAGCCTTGTTGGTAGGATTAGCCTGTGTTGCCTGGAGGGATAGATCAAGTAGTTTCGGAATGTTGAGTAATGGGATAATGTTTTCTTCAAGAGGAGGAAAGACTTGCCCTTTAAAGGCATCGTTTAACAATGTTAAAACTGAGATGCATCGCCCTACGTGTTATCAGTGTCTGTGATATGGTGTATTATTGAAGCCCTTAAAAAAAAAATGCCTAAAAAAAGTACAAATCTTTTAGTGACCGGTTTTACCATACTCATTTCCCCCAGTAGACTGTAGTGTTATGAAAACCATTAGGAAAAAGCAAAATTTGATTTTGATTTCCAATCATAAATATCTTGATAATCAGACATGCGATCGGCCTGTAAAAGTCATGGGGTTCCTGACTGACCTAAAGGTTTATAATTATTATTGTAGCATGAGCTAAATCCAGGATTTGTTCCAGAATCTGAGACAAAGTTACTCAATCCCTTTAAGAGGAGGAAGTACATGCCCTTTAATCTCATGAAGATGTGGACATGGTAGCATTATCTTGTAGAAGGGTATATTATTCTGTTCAGTACTTTTCTCTCATATGGCATATGATTCCTTTGTACCCTGACCTGCCAAAATTACTTTCCATCACACTCACTGAACCACTGGGAACTACTGACTTTGCAGTGTCTCTTGCTTTAGTTGCAGAAGTACTTGTACATGCCTATAGAGCCAGCAGAGCATTATCTCCTGTACTCTTCCACAGAGTGAACACCTTTGTGGCTATCAATGAGACAATATAGTTTTTCAAGATGATGATATCTTGCATATGCTTCAGGATCTTCTTGTTCAATTCTATAAGAATAGAATAGGAAAAGAATATTATTTTGGAAAATTGAAACCCTATCCACAATAATATGTAATTATGCTGTGTCTTCCGGTGAAAAATAGCTACAATGCCTTGCATTCTTGTCATGTGCTAATGGCTAAAGTTATGGCTTTCCATACGGACCTGTTATTAAGCGTAGTCCTACAGAGCACAGGCTGCATCGAAATGGAGACACATTTGTAAAGATATGTCAGACATGCAGACAAGCAAACTCTACTTTATGAGTTTGCGTTCCTCCAATACTCCCATTAGCACAGCATTATCCTCCACATACCACGGTTGCTATGTGCTTAGCTTTTGACGATGGTGTTTTGGGTTAGTTCCTCAATCATTACGTGTTGACTTTTTGCCGCTTACGTTTTGTCAAAAGTCGCCGTGCTACGTGAATACGGCGACACATCGCCCATTTGTCCATTTTGCCATATTGCGAGAGCACTTTGTGCGGTGCTCGTGGGATTCTTAATGTGATTAATGATATGCATTTAGGTTGAATGCTTTAGACTTTGTCTCTACTAGAGAGGTAATATAATTAGGCAGTTTAATTGCAAATGTAGGGGTAAAGTAGATTCCTGCCAAGAACGAGCATCATAGGTTTCTGGAACACGAGAAGAAAATGGAGTTCTGTCAAATGAATTAGTTTCATATTTGATTTTAAAAACCGCTTTTACCAGCATTTTTTTTCTAACAACCTTCACATGGTGTCGCTTTACCTATCCAGATGTTTGTGGGCTTAACAGATATATGACTCTGATCTCTTAAAATGCCATCCTTGGAATAAAATATAATAATTTGTAACGCACGTATGTGTTTCGATTGCAATATTAGAACAGGGTTCTAGCACGATTTCAATTAAAATTAATGTATGTTGACAGAGCATGGTCAATAAAGCCTTGGAAACTTTGCTCAACCTCTCTGAGTAATAATGTTGTGTTTTGTCTGCATTAAAGCAAAAACAGAAGACGACAACGTAATATGAAGTATGTCATCTGTTCAGAGCTAGAAGGGCATTAAGTCTGTGGTAAATTGTATGAGCTAACACCCTTCTGCCTCCAAACAGATGATGTGAAATGTCAAACAAAAACATGGAAGCTACTCTTCTTAATCTGTGCTCAAGCAGAAGGGTAAAATCTGCATTGCCGAAGGGTATGATGATTTAGATTGGGAATTGTAAATAGTTATGTCTGCCATGCTGTCTGTGTATGAATGCTAATGGACTTCCTCTTTTTGTCTCTCGTTTCAATTCTATCATACAGCCAAGAAAGAAGCCATGACTTCTCTGGTCAACCCGGCTTACAACAGCACAGTAGGGTCCCCGACGGACCACGTCAATGCAAACACGACAACGGCGGGACTCTCCACAGAGGATCACGACCCATTACAAAATGAGATTAACAAAATGATGAAAGAGAGCCTGATGGACTCAGACTTCAGCCAGACGGACAATAAGAATGAGGGGGTGTCCATCCAAAGTGCCGTTCTTGGGGGGTCATCGGGGAAGAGCCGCTCCTCGTATGCATCGACGGACTACTCTTCCATGGGAATTGGCAATCCATTAGAAAACCTGCCTGGGGCGTACTCAGACGATGACTATGATGACGATGAGGATGATGTTTATGTGGAGGAGGAGGAGGATGAGGACAGGAGATTGACGGTGGCAGATGATAACATCCTTCGGGAGAGGAACAAGGTCAAAGCGGAGGCCATGTTTGCCGGCATTGATTTCATCGATGATGGGGAGGACGATGACGAGAGCGAGTCGGAGTCGGAGGAGGAAGAGGAGGAGGATGATGAGGATGATGATGACATAGCAGAGGTTGTGATCGTTGAGGAAGTGGATAGCGCAGATGAGAAAGCACCAAAGAGAGTGAAAACAGATGATGGCTGTTCACCAAAGGACCCTGATGCCGATCTTATGTCGCCGGACGAAGTCATCGCCACAAAGCTGGGTGGCATCTTAAGTTACTATGCCAACTTGGAAGCATTGACCAAGCAACGTTCAGAACAGATTGAAGATGACACCACGTCATTACGGGGCAGTGTCAGCGATTCGTCAGAAGTAGAGGGTGAGAGTCACGAGGGCCTTTATGAAATGCCTCAGCAACCGACGCCCTTTGATTCGGGACCTTCGACCATGGATGATGAGAGCACAGATGATTGTGAATCTACGTATGATATGCTTTACAAGAGCTTTGGGCTCAGGACACAGGATGAAAAATTCAAGGTGGATCTTCTGTCTCCATCGCAGGGTCAACACGACCATGGATACGCCAGCGAGACATCCGCAGACGAGAGAGTATCCCCGATCAAGCGACCTGGAATGCTGCTAAGGGATGGATTCAAGCCCCCGCTCAGTGCTCTTACCGAGGACCTCCCCCTCAAGATTCTGTCCCCTACCACTGAAGCCGAATCAGGCATCGAAGTCACTCCCGAACCCAAGTCCTCCAACAAGAACCTGTTGGATAAGGAACTCTCAGAGGCACAGAAGACCGCCCTGACGAAGCCGACGACGCTACCACCAGGCTGGCGTGAAGTAGCCGACGCCCATGGAACATACTATTGGCATGTACCGACAGGAACTACACAATGGAGCCCACCCTCACCCACTGACAGCCAAGGCTCAGCTAGCCCTCCCAAGAAACCTGCAAGGGTATGTACCTCAATGTTATCCCTGTTAGTAGTCAATGTCTGTATTTATCTGTTGTGCCCTTATATAAGCTGTACTAATGTCTAGCATCTCTGTGTCAACTCAACATAGTTGGGTTGTTCTCAGATTTTGAAAGTATTCAGATCATCAGATTTTAGACTCATTACCATTATCTGAACAATTCTTTTTTTACCCCAACTGTCATAATCACTTGCTCATTCTCTCTAGTCCTTCTATCATTGCACTCTCCTTCCTTATATACTTTCCATGCGCTTACTGACTATACATATACAGTGTATGTCTGTAGTGTATGAGCCATTGTACAGCAAGTATAGTCAAGTGTAAAAGCCTGGCGTCTGGAGGCACCCCAAATCCCACAGCGTATTTGGATTGGGCCCTCTGTTCCTCTTATCATATTTCCCTGTGCACCCAAATGAGGAATCTCCCCAAGATGTCAACACGTGGCAATCGGATACATGTATTCCGAGAGATTGATAGAGGTACGGGAGGAAGATGGTCTGAGAAACAAAAAACAAGACTGCCTTGATGCAGTCCTTCAGTCCGGGGTTTGATGACGGAAATTTGTCATTTTTACGAGTTGTTTTTCAGCCTTTTTAAAGCAGTCCGTAGAATCACAAAAGCATAAATTCCAAAATCACAAGAGAATTTGCGGTACTACTAAAGTAGAGGGAGAGAAATAAAGCCATGTAGGGGAATTGAATTGAAATTCAGCGAGAGGAGGATATTCTGGAAACAGAAAGGAAGAAGAAAATGGATTGATTGGATAGTGGGATATTACTGGCTTCAGTATTGTAAGGGTAATCACAATCGGATAATTAGCAATCCATACCTCGTTTGTGAATGTTTGTGGGGTTGGGACAGGTCTGGACACGAGAGACTAGAAGCAAGGCCGCTCACTAGTGTAAGGTAGGGAGGGAAGGAGAGGAAATGAGATGACAATAAATCAATTTCATTCTCCGTCTTTGCCAAGGACACTTCTCATTTCACTGCCAAGGTAACCGGTTAGTCTTGGGTTTCATACCCTCTCTCCTTCCATTTGGCCTTCTTGTTTCCAAGGCTTCCTCCTTTTTTTGTCTATTTGTCTTCCTGGATTTTACCTTGTCTTGATTTTTCTCATCTTTATAGTTGCCTCTTTCAACGTAGTATTTTAATTTGCTTGAAAGCCATTAACATCACAAAACCTCCCTGTTAGCCTCTCCCTCTCTCCCATCTCTTTCTCTCTGTCTTTCTGTCTCTCAATCTCTCCCTCTCAATCTCTCCCTCTCCGCTCTTTCTCCCTTGCTCTCTTTACCCTTCTCTCTTTGCTCTTTACTCTCCTCATGGTCTATTCCCATATTTTGGGAACCAGTTCCCTTTATTTCTGGCTCAGTCCCCTCTTTTTCTACTCCATCTCTGCATTTTGCCATAACAGAATTAAACTCACCCACATATTTACGTCATTCATCTTAATCTCTAATGCAGTGGGTTGCTTTTATTTGTCTTTGAATTTCATGCATCTTTATTTGTCTCAACAAACTTTATTTTACTCCCTAAATCTCATTAATAGTGACACCCCATTTAGTTTCTGAATAATTGTGGAGAATTTACCTTTTATTGTTCAATAACACCCATTATTAAAAAAAAAAAGATACTCTCATTTTAAACTCTGCTTTATAACTGAAGTACATTCAGGCCTCTGCATTAGTAGTATGTTCCATCCTGAAACGGGGATGCTTCGATTGAAAGCCCTTTCCGGCTTCTCCAGGATCAGAAAATTTCTTTTTGGAAAGTGCACACACCTTGACGCGTATTGGGGAGTGATGTACATTTTCCATTGACTGAGTCGAATCGATTCCGCTTTTGTCTAGTCGAGCTTAGAATGCAAGAGTTTGAAGTATGCACCGTCCCTGTCTGAATTCTCTTAGCAGCTGCACACTCCACCAAGCTTCTCCCTATTTCCTCCAAAAGCCTCTCAGGTTTAATGTTAAAACATGCTCCGTGTCCAGACTGCACAAGAGGCTTTTTGTCTTTCTTTTTTTTTTGGGGGGGGGGGAGTAAAAAGTGCCCTCTAATGGAAGTAAACCCTTTCTTGAAACCTATTTCTACTGCTGATTCTTCCTCTATTTTTCTTTCTTCAGAATACCATAAATTAAATACTTGTTTAATAAATAGATTTGAAATGGATTCACTTTGGGATACTACAGTGAGAACATGGTTGCTAAAGGCTTTCAAGAAATCAATTTACTGTAAGATTGTTTTCAAAACAATTTTTTATTGCCTAGAAAAATCTGGTTTGGATTACATAATACTCCCTTGTAGTTTTGCCCATTCCAATATGTGGCATAGAAGGTAATGAAACTGCTTTGGGTTGATTTTTCTGAAGGTCTTTGCGATCCTGTTTGAGATTTGGTATGAGTGTTTGAATGTTGTTAATTTGATTTGTGCTTTGACGACCGGGTATGACTATGAGAATGACTGGTGGGATAGTGGTAGAGTAGTTTGAATTTTGAATGTAACCATTCTTACTAATAATGTCAACAGATGATTCACCCTCCTGAGTGATGGAATGTGACAGAAAGAGACAGGGAGAAAGAGGGGAGGGGAGAGAGGGAGAGAGATAGAGGGAGGGATGATTGGAAAGAGAAGAGAGAGAAAGAGAGAGAGAGAGAGAGAGAGAGAAATAGACAGAAAAAGAGAGAGAAAAAAAGGAGGGGATTATGAAGAGAGGGGTGGGGAAAAAGAGAGGGTAGGAGATGTGGAAAGGATATGAACATCAAGAATGGGTACATACATAACATGATCATTTTGAGCAAGACTTTTGCGAAAAAGTAGCCATGATTTCATGAAGAACGTTATTGAACAGTAAGATTATGATATCATATGAAGACTGCGTGGAAGAGAGAGAAAGAGAGGGAGGGGGAGAGGAGAAGAGGGGGGGGGGCATTTCCTACCCCTCCTATTTCCCCATCATTGATAACACTGACGCTTGCATGGATGGTCCACAGTGACTACTGAAGATAAAAGGAAAAGCAATCATCTGTCCACCATGGTCATTATCATCACCTCCATTCCCCAAACCACTACCCCTTAATTACATCTCCGTTTACACATGCATTACATCACCACATCAAATCACTATGATTGTGTTCGATAGCCCATTCAGACCGGAGAAAAGTTAAACAAAACTTGTATAAAGACATGTGTCGTAAGAATCATTGTACAGCTTAAGGGTCATACAGACCAGGTATTAACATTGTATAAATAAACATTTCAAGTAACAAGCCTCGAAGAGGTCAGTTGCATGACAGCTTGCCTATCATCAGTGCATGCTTACGATAAGCCCTACCGAATTAAAAGATTTTTGTACAATACATTGTTCTGGCCAAATTAGAACCCTGATCATTTATTTTCAAGATTTTTTTCTGTTGAAATTATGATCAAACATGCGTTTTTGCAACACAATATTTCATAATGACGTTTCATCATACGATGTTCAAACTACGAACATACGATTCCCGTATAGCCATACAATGACTTTAGGTAGTCTGAAGGAGGGGTGGTATTGCTTCTTGACAATCACGCATGATGACCTCTGCTCGTCCTCATTGAGCATCTAGTCTTCTTTGATTTTAGCGCTCCTACCTTCTCACCCTCCCCATCACCTCTTAATATCCCCTTCTCTAATATTAAAGTAGTAAAGTAATTAAGTAGCATGTTCAATACAGACATGATGTCTCGTCCGTATTGTTCTTTAACTGCTTCAAGGTAGTTTCGAACATTGATTGCAGACGTACGAGAGAGGTGACTGACAGGAAGTAGGAGCTGAAACCATCGTGATGTAAAGGAACTAGAGATATACATTTTCAAAACTAATTTCACACCAAATGATAGCTGAAACTTTTTAATGAAGCGTTGAGTATCGAGGTACTTGAATGTTATAAGGATTGTGTTCTGATCCCTTTTGATGTGTGGTAGAAAATAAAAATTAAGAGGATTTTAAAGACTCTCGATGTGTCATCTAATTTCTCCTAAGATAATCAGGATTCCATCCTCTTTTCGTATACAAATGTTTAAAGTCACGTAACATCATTCATATTTTTTTATATCGAGAGTGGAGTAAACTTTATCTGTTTAAAGCCAGAAGGGATGTGACTCTGTGTTGTATGATATGATTTAACGCACTTCTTGCTCTTAGCAGAAGACTTATGTCATTAATCAAGTCATCGCGATCAATCCCCTCTTATAGTTTTCATTATAAGTCCTCATAGACACATAATTTACATACATTTGCATCGAGACTGAAACTTTTATTCTCAAGTGTTTGTTCCTGTACTGAAGTCAGGGAAACGGTCAAATCAAATTTATGAAGGGTATCAGTGGCCTGATTTTTCACATTTCACACTTTAGAGAATAACTATTTCTTAGAATGCGGGGATATAATCCATTCTAGCCGTTTCTTTCCCTCGTCACATTTGATACCCATGCCAGAGTGTGATCGCTCGGTTAAGAATTTAAATCAAGTGCCCCTCACAGGCTTCCTTCGCTCCTGTCTTGTCCACGATCTGATGCTGCCATAACTCGCCGTCTCATGCATACATTAGCAAATGGTGAGAGATCTTTGAGAGGATAGATGGTGAGAGAAGGGAAGAGAAAAGGGAAGAGAGGAGGAGGAGGAGGAGGAGGAGGAGGAGGAGAAGGAGGAGGAGGAGAGAGAGAGAGAGAGAGAGAGAGAGAGAGAGAAGAATCAAGAAAATAGATTAGAAAATTGTGGTATAAAAAAGTGCCTGCAACAAAGAGGGACTACACATAATTACTTTTTAAAGATGGATAAATATGGAGGTAAAGGTAGACACATTTTAAAAAGTATGAAGTAAACATGGCTTGGACAACATTTAGAAGTTGGGAATACTTATGTACAAATGGAATATTTGAGAAATATATGAATTAGAGTAGTGCAAAAAATATCAAATTTTAGAGTAAAATAGATTTTGGGGCTAATAATA